GCCCCGCGGCGCACGACCCGCTTCGGAACCCGGCCGTCCGTATCCTACGGCCTCCCCGCACCCGCCGCCCTCGCCGCCACTCGGGGTACGTATATCCGCCATTCACGCCCCCCCGGTACCTGCGTCCGTGCCCGCCCTGGCCCACCGCCATGTGACACTCCGGTTTGTCCGTAGGATAGAGTGAGTCGGGCTGTTTTGGGGCGGCGTTGTTTGGGTGTTTGTGGATATAGAGGGAGCATATCCGTTACACCCTCCCCGTGGAGCTTCCCCGCGCCCCGCGTCACTATGCCGCCCCCAGGCCGCCTCGCCCTCCACCTCCCATGCCAACGCTTGGTCCCCACCCGAACCCGCCCTCCCTCCCGACCTCACCGCCCCCCTCCGCGCAACCCCCCAACCCCCCGTCCCCCCCGCCGCCCCCCCGCCCACCCGCTCCCCCCCATGCCCGCCGCTCATCCCTCCCCGCCCACCCTCGGCGCCCCCGCCCCGCCGAGCGCCCCCCCGCCCCCCAACCCCGCCCTGGCCGCGGCCCCCTCCCCGGCCCTGGCCCCCCGACCCCCCCGCCCCCCCACGGCCGCCGCACGCCTACCCCGCCCCGCCCGCCGCCCCTCGTCCCACCCCACCCCCACTATGAATTGGGAATGGATCCTTGCATAGGTTATGGGTAGATGGAACACCCGAAACCGTTGCATGTCCCCTGTGGCGAGCACCCCCCGCGGTCGTTAGCTAATGGACTTGGTCCACAGTGTACCCCCCGCCCCCCATCCGCCGCGCCCGCCAGGGTTAGCGTCACTCACGCCCCCCCACCCGCTACCCCCCCCCCCCGCGCCCCTCGTCCCCCCCCCGGCCGTATTGTGAACTCAACCTCACCCCTCGCGCTCCCACGCGCCACATTTGACCGCCCCCCGCACCCCTCCCCCCACCCGCCACTTCCCCCCCCCACCCTCGCGCCCGCCCAAATTCCGAGCCCGTCCCCCCCCCAGCCCCCCCAACCGCGCAGATTTCCCGCCCTCACTATCCTCCCGGCCGCCCTCCGTCCTGTGGTGGGGTACCCCTCGTGTGTCGTGGGCCTTCTAACGCGCCTCCCTAAACGCCCCGCCGCCACCGACCCAGTCTGGTTGTCTCACCTGCCCCGCCCCCCCCCCCCCCGGCGCGGCTGAGCCTCCCCGCCGCCGCCGCCGCTCGACCCCCCCCGCCGCCGCCCCGCACCGCCTCACCCTCCGTACGCCACCCCCCGCCCCTCCCCGCCCCCCCACCCGCGCTCTAGTGCATTTATGGAGTCTAAGCATGGCGGACTGTGTAAGTGATTCCGCATGTGCTGGGCCCTGTGCTGGCTAAACAACGCCCTCGGGCACCTAACTCCACCGCACTCCGCATCCCCTAGACCCCGCCCCCCCGCCCCAGCCGCCCCCTCCTGCGTCCCACCAGAGCCGCCCCTCGCTCACCCGTTCCCCCCCGGCCCCCACCCTCCCCGCGTCCCGGCCCGCGCTTCTACACGCCACGTCCGTCGGTCTGACCCCGCCCACGGTCCAGTTTGGGGGCGTTAGTTCTCCACGCGCCCTCCTGTATGCAAGCGTCCACTACACCAGCACCCTCGCTCCGCCCTCTGTCTTTTTACCCACCACCTAGCCGGCGCCCCCCACCGCCCCGCTCCCGCCTACCCACACAACACCCCGCGGGGGTACACCCCCCAAACCCGACCACGTCATACCGACGCGTACCGTAGCCGCGCCAGGCGCCCCCAGAGCACCCTTACCCTCAACAGTGTGTCCCCCCCCGCCCCCCCTTCGGGGGAGATTTGCGCGCCCCCGCCACCCACGGCCCGACTCTCCGCACCTGCGGGGCTTCGGCCTCCCCCGGCGCCCCCCCCCCGCCAACCCCCCCCCCCCCTCCCGCGCCCACCGCGTGCCCACCCCCACCAGCAGTTGGAGTTGGTAGTTGCACGGTCACCGTAAATCATGTCTATTCCCTCGACACTGTCCCCGCGTCAAACGAGCCCGTACCCGCCGGCCAGGTGGTTCTAGGGCGCCCCGCCCCCCCCGGCCCGCACCCCCCCCCCCCTTCGCCAACGGACCCTCCCCGCCACCGCACCCCCGCCCGGCGCGCCCCACCGCCCCCCCCCCCTTCCGCCCCCACGACCCCCACCGCCACACGCACGACCCGTGCAGCCCCCTGTCCGACCCCGGCCGCCGTCCCCGCGGTCTCGCTCCCTCTCCCCCCCGCCACCGCCATTCCAGGCCCCCCCCCGGTCCCCTCGCCCTCGACGTACCCTCCCCGCCCCCGCCGCACCCCGCCGCCACCGTTTTCCCGGACCATAGCCCATCCCTCCGCGAGTCCGTTCTAGTGCTGCCCACAGGGCTCACCCCCCGTCTCCCCCTCTTGCTTTTTTTCGGGCCTATTGACGGCGCACCGCCCCGGCCACCTGACACGGGCCACCCCCCCCCCGACAGCGCAACCCCCGCGCCGAGCGACCGCCCCTACGTCGGACGCACCAGCGCCGCCCTCCAGCTGAGGCGGAGGTGAGTCATTAGTGCAGTGTTGCGCGTCCGGCCTTCCGGCCCCTCCACCACCCCCCTCTGTCCCCTACCAACCCCCTCTGTCGTCCCCCCGGCGTGCCGCTGAGACGCTCCGGCAGTGTCGCGCCGTCCCCCGCCGCAAATTATGAGCCGCGCTTACCCGGCCCCCGCGTCGCGTCGGGCGGTAGCCGACGTCAACTGACGCGCCCGCTCCCCCTCGGCCGCTTCCACGGACACTCCCGCGCTGCTCCGTAGTCCATGTCAAATGTCCTTCAGAAAAGAGTGCTGTGTCATGTTTTCTCTCCCGCCCGATCTCGCCCGACATAGTTCCCGGCGCCTCCCGAGCCCCCGCGCACAGCGGATTAGGGACGGCCGGTCCCTTCCCCCCGCCAGTCACGTTTGCCCGGACCACGGCCCTCCCTCCCCCCATTCCCCGCGCCGCGCGCCCGCTCCACCCTCCCCGAGGGAGCACCGCCCCGGTCACCCCTCATACGACCGTCCGGCGCCCCTAGATTGCTGTTGATCGCCGCACACGCGGCCCCGGCCCCCCAATCCCCGGCCGGTTCGCCCAACAGCGCCCGTCTCCCGACTGCGCGCCTCGGTTCACCCCGTCTTCCGCTGCTGGTACATCCTTTCGTGCCGGCATTGTTATCCGCACCGCGCCACGGCCCGGCTCGGTTCCTCCTCCCCTGTGATAATAAGGAGCCAATCGCTTTGGTTCAAAGAGTTGATCAAGGCCGCGTTTAATGGGGTACCGACAACCTTCTACAGCTCTTTTCCGCCCCTCCCAGCCCTGCCCGTCCCTCGCGCCGCTGGCCGCCCCTGGCCTCCCTCCCGCCCCGTCTCTAGCACGGACGACTCACCGCGGCAGAGTTGCGTGCGCCGGCCCTCGAGCGCGGGCGTCCCCCCCACACACGACCCACCCCCGCTCCGCGGGCCCACCGAGCGGGCACCGTCCTCCCCAACGCCCGGCCGCCCCTCCCTCCCACTTCCGCTACCGAACCCCTCCGCCCGCTCTCCCCAGCCCGCGTGGTCCGCCCCGCTAACACCCGCTCCGCCGACGCCAGTCCTGCGCCCAATCCCTCCCTGTTCGGCCCCATACTCCCCATCCGGGAGAGCCGGGTCAAACGGCCCTACTCCCCACGACGGCCCCCCCCCGCCCGTCTCTCGCCGTTCTCGCCGCCGACGCCGGAACACGAGCAAAACCGGCCTCTACACATTCGCGAGCCACGCTCTCCCCCTCCACCTCCTCCGTACCGGCCTCGAGACGGCCGCGCTGCCCCGACACCCCCTCGACTTTATCTGATCTCGCACACTTGTGTTTCCGCCGCCTGACACCGGTGCGTCTCGCTGCCCCGCAGCACAACGCCCATCGGGTTCCAGCGCGTCATCCGTCAAGCAGGTTGTCTCCAGTTACTAGGTCGTCATCCGCCCCCCGATTACCGCCCCCCATCACTTCCGCCCCCTCCTACACGCTTCCACTCACCCTCTAGCGGCCCCGCCACCTAGCCAGCCCCGTCAAAGCAACCTTAGTACCCCCATATGACAAATCCCGCGCCGTGGCATCTCGTGCTGGTCAACGTTGCCATGCCCCTGCGTGCACCCCCGCGCCTCCTCCACCCCCACCCCCCGCCGCGGCCCCGCGCGCTTGACGCGCCACCCCGCCACTCGGTACCCCGCGCCACGGCGCCACCCGGCACAGCCCGACCCCGCCCCCGTCCCGCCCCGAACCGGCCGGTTTTCATTGCGGCACCAACCCGCCGCCTCAGATCCACCCCGCCAAAGGGACAGGTGGAGCGGAAGCCACCCGTCGGAGACACCCCGGTCGCCCGCTCCTTACCCACCGACCTAAGCGCCAGCTGGGGGGGCAACGGTTCCCAGTCCCTCCAGCCCGCGCATACTGCCCCTCACCGGAGCCCGACGCCTCCGTGTAAGCGCTCACTCAAGCCTGCCTATCGACCCGATAGCCCCGTACGCACGGCTACCGCAACCTCGCGCACCTCACCCGCCCCGCGGCCTCCCAGTCACTTCGACCCGCCAGCCCCACCCCCCTCATTACGCTCCACCCATCTTTAATGTGGAGTTATCCCGTCCCGCAGGTTTTTTCCCCGTTCCCGGAGTCACGCCCGCACCGCACGCCCCCCCCCCCAGGACGCCCCCTGTTGGTCCGGGCTACGGCTGGGCTGCGATCCCGACAGAGTGAAGCGTTAGGTTTGTCCGTCGCGCCCGCCCCTCCGCTCTTCCCCCCTCTCCGGGAGACTATCTCCGTCATGGTGCGTCCGCCGACCCCGCGACCAATAGCGACGGCCAGCAGCGCCACGCGCCCCCCCCTCACCCGCGCACAGCCACCGCTTTTTCAGTCCCTGCCGCCCCTCCCGTCCGCTTCCGCCACCCCCGACTCCCGCACCCCAGCCCCGCTCCGGGGCCCACTCCGATCTCCCATCCCCACCCTGACGTGCGCCCCCGCCCCCCGCGTCCCCCTGCGCACGAGCCCCATCAATCCCCGCCCGTCTTCGGCTCGCCGTGCACGTATCCCGCCCGAATTCATTCGACCCGCCCCCCCCCACGACACGCGGCCCCGCTCCGGGTTCTCGTATAACTCCATTTTGCGACACCGCCCTCCCGCTCACCCGTCCCACTGAAGCGTCTCGATGTTCAGTACCGCCCCAGCTGCCATGTGCGCCCCCTCAGGCTCCGTCCCGTCCCGATCGCCCGATCTCCGCCCGTCGTCTCCCAGCCCCTTCTACCGCGCTGCCTGGCGCCCCCACCCCGCGACCGGTACCGTTCGCCGCCCCCGCGCCCTCCCCCCGCGCCGCATTCCCACACGCTCCATACCGCCACCGCCCCAACTACCCCCCGACCCTCCCGGCCCAACCTACCAACGGCCGCCCGCCGCCGGGCGTCCGCGTCCCGGCAGATCCTCTCCGCCCTATCGGCCCCCCGACGCCCGAGGGTCGCACCCTAGCGCCCATGCCGTCCGCCCCCTCCGCCAGGCCCACCGCCCGCCCCGACCACACCCGCCACGCTCCGCCCCACCTCGCGGGTCAACGCCACAGCGCTTCCTCGGGAGTACTGCAATCCGCGCTTAGAGACCCCCGGGCTTGGCTTTTGACCTGAGCGCGTGTGCGCGAGACCTCCGGTTTAATTCACATAAGGTTCGATGCTCCTACGAGGACACCCCCCCCCGCCCCCGAACCCCGTTAGCGCCGCAGTAGGCTCGGGTAGTTCAAGCCCCTCGCGCGGCCGCGACTTCCCTTCCCCATGCGCCGGTCGGCTGCACCCGCATGTAGACCTGCATTTCACCCTCACGGTCCTGTATCCGTAAATAGCCATCGTCCGGGTCAGTGTCAGCATCCCGTCAAATATTACTCGAAAGTCATATGTCGCCACCGTGTTCCAGAGCTCCCTCCACCCCTGACAGATTGCCACGGCCTGTTTTGGGGCCTCTTGTCGCTAGATCCCGTCGTCACTATGCTTAATGCCTATCCGCTCCCCTCCACTCACCCCTGTCCCTGCGCGCCCGCCCGGCCCCACAACCGCGCTTCCCGTCGTCATCCCCTCCCGCTCCGCCGCCCCCCTCCCCTCGTCGTGCGCGGCCCCCCTCCACACCCCCCCCTGACGCCGCCCCCCTCGCGGTCTCACCCCTTCCCCCCCCCCCCCCGGCCGCGTCCCCGCTCGCACGCTCCTACCACGCGGCGTGGCTGCTATGGGGCCGCTACCGCCCCGACGGTGCCGGGCTACCTCTTCTCGCCCCCCCCTTCCCGCCGGGGGTCGCCGCCTCCCCCCTCGAACCCAGGCGCCCCCTAATCGACACCCCCGGACACTATCCCTGTCGCCCCGCCCATCAGACCCTGCGCCGCCGACACGGCCCCCACCTCGATCCCTTCCGCTCGACGTGCCGTGCGCACCGAGGCGCGGCCGGGTCCGCCCCCGACCGCCGCGCTCCCAACTTCTCGAATCGCCGTCCGCCGCCCCGCTGCACCGGTGTTCAGCCACAGGCGCCTCCTGCTTCCCTTCCACTGCCGCTCTGACTCCGATCGGCGAAGGGGGGCCCAGGGGGTACACGTGTGGTCATCGCCGCCTCGGCCCGCTCGGTCGGTGGGCCTCTCCCCCACGCACCGCGCCTGTGCCGCAGGAGACTGCCGACGCACGCTTGCCCGGGCCGACCCACCCCACTCGTCGCTTATCCCCGCCCGCGAAGGCGCGGGACCCCCCCGCTGGGCCGTCATCGCGCCCGGCCTAGCCCCCCGGTTGTTCGTGACGTTTTCTACCCGCTGCGTCACCACCCGGTTTGCCGCTTTTAGTAGCCCCCCCCGCGCTCAGGCCCCCGCGCCCCGTCACCGCCCCGAGCGCCGGTCGGCCCCCCCTCCCGCCCCCCGGTCCGCCCGTCAGACGCGGACGGCCCCGCCGGCCGGGCCGGCCCCCGTTGGCGCCACCCTTACCCCGCCCCTACGGCCTCGCCGTCTGCTCTGCAGGTGGTGTCGTCAATTTCTGCAGCCGCCGCGCGAGTCGAAGTCTCCGTACGGCCATCCCTGCCGCTCGGCGCCCCCCCCTTGACCCTACGGACGGCGTCGCCCGGCCTGCCACGCCTACTCTCCGCTCGCCCGCCTTCGCCTCCCCTCTACCCCCGCTCGCCCCCCTCCCCCCACCCGCCCCCCTACCAGCGCCCGCGCCCGTCGGGGCGCGGCGCCCTCTCACGGCCCAGTCATTTCCTTCCCCGTCTCCGCCGTGCTCCGACCGGCGACCCTCGGTCGCGTGCTCGTCTACGCCGTAACGGACTCTGGGTACCCGCACCCCCCGCCCCCCCGCCTCCTACGTCGCTTGCTCGCCGTGCCCGCAGGTTCCCAGGTCACTATAGCTTCAAGCGTCTTATCGCACACCACTTAGCCCAGGCAACCCGCAGCAGCAGCGTTCGCCTCCGTCCAGGACCACCCCCTGCCCGTTCCTCTCTTCCTGTTGGGCATCGAGGCGCCTCGCGCCCACGTCCCCCGGCACCTCCCGCCTGCGTGCCCCCCGCCGAATGGGTAAAAGACACAAAACCAAGTTTCGGGATGGAATCAATGCCCAGAATGGGCATAAGGTGTTCTGACACTACCAGGAACTTCAGCTGGTTTTCTGTTCCATTCTTCGGATTGATCGTCTCCAACATGGCACAGCCCTTCGGTTGTAGCCTCAAACCGTTCCACATCCTGAGACAATTCTGAGTCTTGTCACACGGCACTTCCCTGTTGTACTTCTCTGGAAGCATGTTGGCAGTGGACCCTGAGTCCATTTGAAAACGTGCAGGCTATCCTCGAACCAAAAATGTCGCAAAGACATATGTGTATTGCGCGTGGCTTTCCATGTCGTTTATTGAGTGTTCCTGCTCCTGTTTCTTGGTGTCATCGACCACACCACTCACCTTGTAGGATCTGAAGCAACGAGCGAAATGATTTCTCCTGGAGCACTTCATGTAGGTTTGAGTCCACGCTGGGCAATTCTCTTTACTCTTTGAGTGCCTGCGGCCGCAAAACTGACAATTGTTTTCCTGCTCATTAGATGCCTGGTGCATACGTTCACTGGTTTGGGATACAGCGAACAAATCCGTGTTCGTCTTGACCCGCAATTTTTCGAATTGTTAGTCTCTTCTGGCTTCACTGAGGCATATGTCCATGCATTGTTCCAAGGATAAGTTCCTCTGTCTCAGAAAGCAGCGGTCACGTATCAGGGACTCCTTCATGCAATCACAGAAATTACAGGTACGTGCCAAAAGCTTCAGTTCCGCGTCGCACTTCTCGAAAGATTCTCCCCGTAAACGGTTGTGGCCAAAATACAAATACCTCTGGTATGTCTCGTTCGTGTGGAAAATTCGGATTCCGGAAACTAGCCAACTATCTGTCGCACAGCCATTTGCAGCAAAAATGTGAATCAAAATGTGCCGAATCGGAAGCCCCCCACTGCGTGTTGGAACTGTGGTGGGTGACACTTTGCGGAAGACTATGAGTACAGGAATAATCAATGTCACAAACGTAAACGTATCGGTCATAAAGAGACACGCTGTTGAGGAATGCACAACTTTGGACGCATATTTACTCCAAGAGTTCGAGCAAACTCCAAGTTCAGGAAGACCAGATTCCAGTATGCAAAGACGAAAGCGATTCCGGCCGCATTTCTCACGGGATTCGCAAGCAACGAAAAATACCTAACTGTGAAAATCAACGATGTTCCGGTATCACTGCAGTTACAAATAGCCTCCGACATTGCCATCCTATCCAGATCGACACGAGCTAAGCTGCGTGACCCTGCAGTCAAACATACAAGTCTCATGGCTCAAAGGGTATCAGGAGAACCGTTGTCGCTAGACGGAGAAATTGACTGTGAGCTGAAGCATAAAAATTGCAAATGCATGGCACCATCTAGTTAGCTTCTCGTACCGACATTAATCTACTCGAAATAGATTGGATTGTGAAGCTGAATCTGCTCAGCGTGCCACTGTATCGTGTATGTTCCTAAGCAAAAGTCATGGTCAGCCATACTGCCATGCCGACTCATCCCAGTGGAAGCCTCTCCGAACAGCTTTACGCGAAATACGCTTACGTCTTCCGATCCGAGCTTGGAAGCTGCACAAAAATGCAGGCGAAACTCGCTCTCCTTCTCGACGCAAGAGCAATATCTCGACCCGGACATTCAGTCCCGTAGGCTTCGCAAACAATCGTGGAACAGGAGCTCGAATAGGTACAGCCAGCCGGTGTGATGGAGTAAACCAGTTTCTCATCATGGGCTGCTCCCATTGTTGTGCTCAAGAAACCCTACGGTACTATTTGCCTGTGTGCCGACTTCTCAACTGGGGTAAATGCCCCATTGGAGCCTCCTCAATGCCCACTTCTCGTCCCTGAGGACATGTTTGCAAAGCTGTATGGAGGAAAGTACTTTGCTACCCTTGCTTTCGCGGAGGCTTATTTACAATTTGAAGTTGAGCCAGGAAGCAGGAAGCTTCTTACGATAAACACGCATCGACGTTTGGAGTCAAAACACCAGCTGCAAATATTCAGAAAATTCTGGACAACATGCCGACCGGTGTACCTGGAACCGCAACCTATCTAGATGGCTTTATCATAATGGGCCGAAAGCAACATAAACTGCCTCAGCGACTGGATGGGGTTATGCTACGAATCAACGATTAGGGTTTCCATTTGCGCGCGGATAAATGCAAATTTTTGTTGCAGTCCACCAAGTTCCTGGGTTTTGTGATTGATCAGCACGGCCGAAAACCACATCCAGCTAATATCAAGGCGATCGATCGGTTGCCTGCACCAACGGATATCACAACATTGAGCTCATTCCTGGGAATGGTGAGCCACTATAGCGAATTGTTTCGTATATGCCCCGCTTACGTCATATGTTGAATCAGTTGCTGATGAAGGATACGGAATCGAAGTGGTCCAAACAGTGCTAGCAATCATTTGAAAGTTGAAATCGCTGCTAAAGTCGGATCTACTACTTACTCATTAGAACCCGTGGCTGGAAATTGTCGTTGCCACGGATGCTTCCAGCTATGGAATTGGGTCCGACATTTCCCACCATTTTCCGGACGGTTGAAAAATTGCTGTCGCACAGGCTTCACGAGCTTATACGGCATCTGAAAAGAATTATAGTCAGATAGAGAATAAAGCACTGGTTATCCTCTTTGCTGTTCAGAAATTTCACAAAATGCTATGCGGACGATGCCTCATGCTGCTACCTGATCATAAGCCGCTTCTCGCAAGTTTTGCGTCGAAAAGAGATATCCCAGCATACACAACCAGTCGATTCCAGCGATGGGCAACTTTGCTTTTGGGTTTTGATTTCACCATGAAATAGTTATCAACTGATTCCATCGGGCAAGCCGAAGCTTTATCGACTAATTGACACCGGCAGGCGAGAGCCCGAAGCCGCAGTCATTGTCGTAATCACAGCTGAAACATATGTCAGTTATATGCTGCATGATGCTATGAACACTTTACCGGTCAATGTCAAGATGGTTCAAGAAGCCACAAGAGGGGATCCGCTGCTGCAAGAAGTCCTGGCCTACATTAGACATGGCTGGCCAAAAATGTCCAAAAACTGCACTTGTCCAGTTTTACACGCGACGCGATTCTTTGTCGGAAATTGTCCTCTATCTGTTCTTCCTCGATCGCATCATCATACTTAAAGTCCTGTGGAAAAGCGTTTTAAGACAACTCTACAAAGATCATCTAGGAATTGCCCACATGAAGGCATTGGCTCGGAGCCATGTCTATTGGCCGAAACTTGACAGCCAGCCAGAGGATATTGGTCGTACCTGTTCAGAATGCGCATATGCTTACAAGCTGCTGATACGCACGACACTGCAGTGTTTACCAAAGCCGGAGTCACTATGGTCACGGATTCATGTGCATTTCGCGGGATCGGTTGAAGGAGTTTCCTTCCTTATATTGATCGATGCCTATAGCTAGTTGCCGGAAGTAACCATGATGCAGAACACGTCAGTAATTAGTACATTACACGCACTGAGACGCATTATCAGCCAGCATGGCCTACCAGAAACCATTATGTCGGAAAACTGGCCGCAATTCACGTCTCATCAGTACACTGAGATTTTTGCACGCAATTGTATCGAACACCTGAAAACTGCACCATATCACCCACAATCTAATGGACAGGCTGAGCGATTTGTGGATACCATGAAACGAGCGTTGTTTCAATCGAAGGGGAAGGGACTTTAGGAGAGAGGCTAGACATTCTTAATGAATTATCGAGTTGCTCCGAATCCGAATGCACCAGATGGGAAGTCGCCTGCGGAAATAAACATGGGCCCGAAGACAAAGAACGACTTGGAACTTACTGACCCCCAACAGCCAACAGATGCGCCGTACGAATCCCCTATTGTAAACCCAGTACAATAAGCTTTTTTGTCATCTCACACTACCACCATATATCTACGTGCGTTTTACTGCACAAAGCCTGTGTGATTTTGGCTACCGTACACCTAGTGACGCACCACTACCGAACCCGCTGACCGGAACAGGCAACTGAGGCAGCCCAAACGACTTGACCAGTGCAACCTAAAAGTGCGTACCGACCACTGATCCATGGACAGAAGTTTGTCGACCGCGAATCCAGTGAGTAACAAACCCAAAATCAATCATAGCTCAGACAAGCGTGGAACGGAGATACTCTCGAAAATCACACGTTCGTTCTGTGCCAATTCCTACCACAAAACAAATGCTAACCTTACACGTAACGGTAACAGCGTATCGACGGAGAGGTTGTGGTAGGTGACGTATGTTGTTGGGCAGAGCCTGGGATACCAGTCGGTAAGCTATGACATGTAAGACGTGTCAAAATACGTGACGGTATAGAAGTCGGAGGCGACTGAACCCAACGTATATTGTGCAGGTTAGAAAAATAGGAAAGGAAGCAAACAGCAAGCGAGCACAGAACGGTGCAGCTAGGTACTCACCAAAACAATTTGTTTCAACGGATGTGCAGTCAGTAAAACAAGTGGACGTTTTGAAGGTTAAAACAACCATAAAATCCAATGTTGCACAATACTGAAA